CACACGGCGGACGTCGCATCCCGATGACCAACAGATGTCCACTTGGATTCTAAAAGACCGAGACAGCGTGACAGCTTGCCGGCGGCTCAACAAGACCTCCATGGGCCTCATAGTGCGCTAACCATTTCGAGCGACCGAGCAACAGCAGGCTGCCGACACCAATGTGGAGATTTCTCAATCCTTGATCAACAGCTCGCTACGGAGCATGGGAAGCTTGCTCAAAACAAAGTTTCTCCAATGTGGAGAGCCTACCTCCATCGACCCATTGCCCCGTCATCCATGGCCCTCACTACAGCCGCGGCAAACGCCCAAGCAAGCCTCTGGTATGGCCAGCCCAAACTCTATCTGCGTCCAGATACCACATGCCAGCCCGAGTACAAAACGAAGAGATAAGGTCGTTTCGGTCTGTGGTTGCTCGGCGCCAGCTTGGATTGGTTGACATGCTCGAAGAAGATGCTTCTCCGTCCACTTGGCGGTCAGGGCATGCTCAACTGGCGATACACTACCCTTCTGCTCACCGACAGCCTGGTTCATCATGCTCATGCTTCATCGTGCAAAGTGTTCCCCGCAAGCCGACAAGGATTACTGTCGTCAGCATGTCGGTGGTCTCAGTGGCGTCCCCCGCCGCCGAGAGGGACGGCCTCGTCCGGTAAGAGGCCGCTAAGACGTCTCGGCGCGTCTCGGCGTGCTCGGCGCCGCCTCAACACGGCATCTCGCTGGGCAAGCCCGTTGAAGATGGATCCGAATCGACAGGGATCAACAATTGGCATGCCGTTTTACCCATAGCCAAGACTAGAGACGAACATCTTATCTTGGTCAAACACTGTCTTGCCCCGTCCGTCACCTTCCTTTCCCGTTGCCCCTCGCCGGGCAAACCCAAGGCCTTTTGAACGTTGCAGTCCCTTGGCAGATGCGGGTCTGGACACACGGCTACTATCGCACCTTCCAAACGAAGGGTCTGATTGCTGACATTCTGGGCTTCTCCGCAGAGTGCCACTGAAGAGTGCCACCCCGTGCGCACCAACGGCTGGTGGGCGGTTGAAAGGTGGTGGTGGTGGTCGACCCGACCATGGTACACATATCAGGAGGTGGGGCTTCCGTCGAGTACATATCCAGCCTGTGGCCCCCGAACCAGAACCTTCAAATCTTTTGTTCTTGCGCGTTGAGGCTTTGTCACTTCTCCAGCACCGCCTCCGTCTCTTCATCCCTTGACCACCAACCTCCGCGCCGCCAAGCCGCCTCTAGACTACATCGACAGCCATGTCAGAGAAGCAGGACCACGAGACGACCAAGCAGGTCTCGGACGAAGGCATCAGGCAGGCCTCTTCCAACCCAAGTGAGACTGAGGCCCCGACATTCGAAAGGGATCCCAACCGCAAGTGGTGGCATGGTATCAGGGAACCCGGCCATGCGCTCCAAATCGTGACAGCCGCCATCTTGGCCATCGCCATTGGCCTGGCTGTCACCTCCACCGTTGGCAGCAAAAACATTCCCGAAGCGGCAACCGTCATCATCGGCATCCCGGGTGTTCTCTGGTTGCGCGCCTTGAGAGCTGTTGGTATGATCGTTGCCTCCCCCAGCCTCCCTCACCATGTGCTAATACCGTCGGACTAGTACTCCCCTTGATTATCTGCGCCATGATCCTCGCTGTTCAGAAGCTGAGGGAGATGTCGACCGGAGGCGGTGCTGTGGTTGCTAAATGGTCCATTGCATACTATGTGCTCACGACCCTTCTGGCCATTGTACACTCGACTATTGCCGTGGCCGTCGGTTGGATGCGTCTCATGCAAGTTATGGATGCTGAATCGCTCGAGGTTACCGACAAGGACGACCAGAAGATGATCAATGAGAGAACCGAAACCAAAATCCACGACGTTGTGAAGCAGATGTTCGAGTCCTTCATCCCCCAGAATATCTTCAGCTCGCTCGCCAACGATGGGCTCTTGGCGATTCTCATCACCTCGGTTCTCGTCGGCTATCTCCTCAAGCCCAACTCCCCGCTCCTCAGGGTCGTCAAGGAGGTTGAGGAAATCATTACGTTAATCATCACATGGCTGATCAAGGCAGCACCAATTGGTGTTTTCTTCCTCATCCTGCCCAACCTCTTCAAACTCGATATCGCCAGCATTGCCCAGAACTTGGGCGTCCTCATTGGCTCCGCACTTGTTGGCATGTTTTTCCACTTGTTTGTGGTGCTTCCGCTCCTCTTCTTTGCCGTCGTCCGCCGCAATCCTTACAGCTACTGGATGAAGCAATCGCCTGCCTGGATTACTGCCTGGGGTACTGCTTCTAGCGCTGCGACTCTCCCTGTTACCATGAAGTGTGCCAAGAGGTCCGGTATCCCGGATGGTCTTGCCAAATTCACTCTACCCTTGGGTTGCTTGATCAACATGGATGGGTAAGTTTTTGCAGCAACACTCCAACCTTCATCTCCCCAGCGTCGCTAATTAGTTTCGACAGTACCGCTATCTACTTCCCAGCTGTCGTTGTCTTCCTTGCCGCCACTCAAGGCCACGTGCTCAGCGGTCCCGACTATGTCATCATTGTCTTGCTCTCGACCCTTGCCTCAATCGGAACCACGCCCATCCCTAGCTCGTCTCTTGTCCTAACAGTCATGATTGCCACCAGCGTCAACGTCCCGATTACCGGCATGTACGCTGTTGTTGTCGCCATCGACTGGTTCATTGACCGCTTCAGGACTGCTGTCAATGTCAGCGGTGACTTGTTCGCTGCGCCGATTATTCAAAAGCTTTCGAAGGTGGAGGATGATGATGTGGTTTCGGAGGAGGAGGGTGTTGTCGTCACTGACAACAACGACCGTGTTTAGAGAGCCGGTCGGTTGTATGTGTTACGACATGTCCTGCAAGGCATTGGCGCATGGAGTGAGCTTTTGCGTGTTTTCTTGTTTATAGTTAATGATACCATGGTGCTACGGCGCCACCTTGACTTACCACATATACCTTGTCATGATGAGTGGGCAGCGGGTCTTGTTTCTTGCCGATGACTAGGTCGGCCAGCCGGAAGTGGTCACACCGATTCCGATGACGGAAATCGGGCTTTTGGAGCCCGATGTCACCAATGATTGGCATGAGATGTTTGTTACACGACAGGAATATTTACCGAAGGTCGTAGGCCGCATGTAACTATCAAGACAAATGTAGACGCCGAACGGGACGTCGTGAGATTTTGTCTCCGATATCCCCGTGCTTGATGGCGCTCTACCCCACTGTTGATGTAAGACAGCAGGAGACGGGAGGAACGCTGGCGAGGTATAACAGTGTTACCTTGTGTATAAGAACCTGATTAAAGCTGCGAGATGGGCCATTCCACGAGGAGGTTCCGACTCTCCGCAGACCCCTTCCCTTGCCTGTCCTCGCAACATGGCCTCAGCACCTCGTCCACCGCACGTCATCATCATCGGCGCAGGCATCAGCGGGTTGGTCCTGGCGCAATGTCTCCGGAAGCAGGGGGTTTCGTTTGAGATATTTGAGCGAGATGAATCACCCACTGCTAGGACGGGAGGTTACTGTCTTGGCTTACACGAGTACCACCTGTTCCCACTGCCCCTTTGCCCCATCATCTCGAACTAACGTCGTCGAACAGCACGGATAAATTGCTGTCCCATGCGCTCCCCGATGACCTTCCGCCGCTGTCGTCGACGTGTCATCTCTTGCCGTTGGATCTGCCAAGTCAACTGGTGACGTATTTACCCAATGGGAAGATGTTTAAAGTAGAGGATACTGAACAGACGCCGTGTTTGAGGGTGGGGAGGCAGAAGTTGAAGGAGATGTTGATGGTGGGGTTGGGGGTTAAGTGGGGGAGAAAGGCGGTGGAGGTTTGGGAGGAGGGGGATAAAGGGTTTGTGAGGTTTGAGAATGGGGAGGTGAAGGAGGGCGGGCTGGTGGTGGGGTGTGATGGGATTTTTAGCCAAGGTGAGTTCTTCTTTTTCTGTCGAATTGCAGTGATACTGATGATGATTATCATGATATGGGCAGTGCGGCCTCATATACCGAAGCCACCCGGGTGTGGTATCAATCTGAGACAGTTTCCTGCTGCGGTTATCGCTGGGGACGTTGTGTTGGAAGGGGAGGAGATGAAACGGCAGTTGAGGAATGGACATTCGTCTTATGTTGCGGTTGGGCGGGACTGGGGGTTGTTTGTGGGGTTGAATAAACTGGTGCATGTAAAGGCTGATGGATCGGGGTGTGTGGAGGAAATTAGGGGGGAGTATTACTGGATTATGAGCGAGTATGATAAGGATGTGGCGGATGAGAAGCATTGGACAAGGACGATGACTGCTGAGGAAAAACTAGCGAGGGCAAAGGAGAAAGCGAAGGAATTGCGGGAAGAGTTTAGGGTTGTGGTTGAGAAGACAGATGTGGAGGGTGTGAAGAGTTCTGCTGTGAGTGATGTGATGCTGGGCTGGTTGGAAACCCTTGGTGATGACAAATACTGACAAAGAGGATAGTGGTCAAAGTGGTATACGGCAGATGAGCCAAAGGGACTGAATGGAACGAGAGTCGTCATTATTGGAGATGCAGCTCATCCTATGACACCAGGTAGGTCTTCTGATGGAAAAGGTCCCTTGTGAGATTAAGAAAGGCTGACGCTGGATAGCACGTGGGGAAGGGGCTGTCGTAGCAATCAGGGATGCCGTGCATCTGAGCAAAATTCTCAGCACCATTGACACCACTGATCAAGCAACGTTCAAAAAGACGATGCAGGATTTCCAGAAAGAGGTTTTGACCAAGGGCTTCGAGGCGGTCCGAGGCGCGCTGGAAGCCTTCGAGGGTGTGTTCCAAAATAGAACACCGATGGCCTGGGGTTGGGAAATGAAGCCAGTTGGAGAAGTGCCTCCTTTGCCTCCTCTCAAGCTCAAGGCAATATGCTGAGCCACTGCGGTTCAGGGGTTCAGGGGTTCAGCTGCTTTGAGTTCTACTGCTGCACGCATTAGCTCCTAGGTGCTGATTTGGTACCAGGTGGATAACAATTACTAGCCTGCCCGGCTAGCTCAATCGGTAGAGCGTGAGACTCTTAAAAAGAGTACTCCGGTAATCTCAAGGTTGTGGGTTCGACCCCCACGTCGGGCTCAATTCCCGTCTTCGACGATTCTTTTGAACTTTTTGCCTCTGAAGCATCACTTTCTCTTTTTTGTTCATCTTTTGAGTGCTGGCAATGATGGGTAATCTGCAATGCTTTCTTTGTCGTGTCTCCAGCCTTATGAGCACCCAGATATCAATCCCGCTTCCACCCTGCAGTCCAGGAGGACACAGGAACCTACATGCATTTATCGAAGCTACCTGCAAGTAGCCTCCTAATGATTGAATCTGCTGTCACATCATCCACTTGCCAATGGAGCCGCATATAGATCTGAGAGGCAGCCTGATACGGCCCGTTGCGATAGAGTCAAATGTGTTGCATGTAATCTACCTACCTAACCGATTCCACACTTGACACCATGACAATGGGTAGGCATCTGCCTTCGACAGGGTTCGGAGACTTCTTCCCACTGACATGATGCCGCGTGATAGCTGAGAAACTTTGACTTTCAGGTTGCAAACTCGAGGGACCCATGCAAGTATCAGTGTATAGCTCTGTGGTTGCCCGTTCATGACTTCTGGGTAAACGCTACTACCGAAGCAAAGCAAGAAACCACGGGTTAGGGTGGTAATCGCTATCTTCGGAGAATACTTTTAGGTCTCTAGAGGCTCAAGATTCAAGATCTCCCACGATGACCTCAAGCGGTCTGGTGACAAAAGGGGTAAGTAGGTAGTGTGATAATCTGAAGTGGGTCGTCGTGAGCTGGACCAAAGTGTAAGCCCCCTCAGCTCAGGTTCAGCTCAGCTCCCTAAAATAAACAACTTAAAACCCTCATGGTGCAGCCTCATCTCTTAACCGCCCACCCCCCCTGAAAGGCTGCTTCTTAGCGGCAAAGGAGCCAATCAACCGCCATAGAGGTCCCAAATGCTTCCCGCCGTACGTGATGATATATTCTGTTTCTGATGCGCTCCCACGCCCATGCATAACCGTGCTTTAACCTCACTCATCCCTGGTTTCAATCATTCAGCTATCTTCTGGGCCGAGCAGATCGCGCTGCGCGGTTCAGGGGGCTTCCCAACTTCTGGCTCAGCGCAGACGCAACTACTGCAGGTAGGCTCAGGCAATCACAGAGGGGCTGCCCTGCCTAGCCAATAAACTAAACTGCATTAACCATTCATCGATGCCATGTTTGGGATGGTCCGGTACAGAGGTCAACTGTCCTGTCGACTCTCTGGTGAAGAGCGCCAACAGCAGCGCGTAGCGCATGTTTGAATCTGTTTGCCACTGCTGAACATGCTATGTGCGATAAGGTAAGGTAGGTATCTAGTGCCAAGGTCAGCGATGTCTTACAGGTAAGGTCAAGTACTTACCTACCTTAAAACATGGTGTCACCCATCTTTCTGTTCTTTTCCGAGCTGCTTTCCATCCTAACATGACGCACCTCTTGTATACTCCTACACGACCCGTCATGACTTCACGATTCGCCCTCCTCTTCGTGGTTCTTTCACTTCTATCGGTTGTTGTGGCGGATGGCTTACTCTCGATAGGCGCCGATAGCAACTACAACAGATTGCGAGACTGTGCCCTTGGCTGTTACGATGGCGGCATTCGAGACGGCTATTTGGTCACGGACAAATTAAGCTGTAGGAAGCCGGGGGTGGTATATGTTCCGCCTGACAACGACTGTTTCTGCCGCCCCGACTTGCAAGAAATTGCAGTGAGATACGTGTCGACGTGTGTGTACACCTCTTGCGGCCAAAACCAGGTGGATGTGGCGAGTGCGACTCAGGTCTACAAGGACTATTGTAGCAGCGCTGGTTATACTGCGGCACCGAAGTCCACCTCAGCGCAAACCACTGTTAGCACAGGTCAGTAACTTGGAAATCTCCCACCTGCTGTTTCTTGAGCTTCTCTAACACGCCCAAGAACTCGCGGCAACGGCCCCGAGCGCTTCTGGATCAAGACCTGCTGTCAATACCGGCATTTCAGACTCAAACAATCCTGCTGGCGACAGCGAAGACAGAGTTAGTACCGGGACACCAAATGCGAGTGAGCCTGCCGGTGATAGCAACAATACATCGGGACTGAGCACTGCGGCGATAGTTGGTATCTGTGCTGGTGTGGTTAGCGCGATCGCCGCGGTGATAGGGTGCATCATCAAGTATATGCAGTACAAGAAGCAGAAGCAACGAGGACAAGAAGGGGTGTGGAAGCAGTAACGAACGACAATATTATCTGTTGTACTTCAAGTTCTTGTAACTGTGCCTAGGTACGTGGATGGCGTATTGCGCGTTTCCAACTTGAAGTTTGTTGGTGGGTAAATCAGAGCACAGAAGTCACGTCAACCATGCCACATGACCTGAACATTGCAGTTCCCCGATCTCGGCTGTCAGACCAAATGCGGGGTTTTGCATGGGAGCTTCCGAGGGAAGCCCAGTCTTCTCCTCCGTGCCACGTACCTACCTTACGCATCTTTCATACTCGCGGCATCGGGATGAATTCGAAGTGCGGGTGATAACTGTTATACTAGACCCCCCTGATCTCGATAGAAAATTACCCACAGGCATACCAAGATAACATCAACATGTCACGCCCCTCATACAAACGGTTTGTTGTCTGGTTTTGCGTAAGTTACCTCACGCCCAGCAGATGGGGCACAATCTTTGGCCCTCGTCACATTGCTTATCCTCTTTAGGACTACTGTAATTTTGGACCACTTAACCTCTCACGAGATACTCATTGCGCAAATTGCAGTCATCAACGATGTGCATACTGTAGAACAGAGTCGATTAAATCCCTGGGCTCTTTGTCACCTGTCAGGACTAAAGGAACGCCCGAAGCGACAACTCATGATTCGGAGGTTGTCCAAGCTGGAACTTCTGGACAAGGCTATGGCACTTCCAATACGGATGAAGTTCAAGGAGCTCAAGTCCTGCCAGCCGTGCCGGAACGCGGCTCGGACCCTCATGAACATCGGGGAGCCTTGCAGGCTGAACAGCAAATATCCGAAGGGCTTCGGAACCTTCAAATTTCAGTTCAAATTTCAGATGGGACAGACTCTTCAGACCATCAAGGGCATGATTCGCGTAGCGAGGTTGGGTCGGACTCTGGAGTCTCTAGCCCCATACACCAAGATTCCGAGTTCGAGGGGGCGGAGTTCATGGATCTGGAAGCGATCGAGAAAGACTACAGCGGTTCAGTCAACAATGAGTCAGATACTCAACAACGCCCTGACTTGATACCACCCGCCAATGATCTTCAAAAACTAAACAGTTCAGCATTACGGAAGGAACTTGCTGATAATGGAAGCCCAAAGGAGCCATACGGACGCCCCGAAGGTGAGGTGCATAAGCTGGAGACTTCGTACCACGCGAATATACAGGGACACAAGTCTCCTGAGGACGTGCAGGATCACGGCGTCGACCACAAGTGCGAGGACAGCCAGGCGATAGAACCAGTGGCAACGCAGAAGAGCCCCGAGCAGAGTGATCAACTGCACGACAAAGACAACCGTGAATGGCTTTTGCGGCTGTCAGCATCTGAAGGTCAACTCAGGGCTTCGGTATTGCAGGCCAACGAAGCGGACGTTGAAGTTGCAGGTGACTACGGTGATTCAGACACAAAGACAATCTCCGATAGCACCAGCGATGCACGGGTTGGAGAACCTCTTGAACCCCTTCTGGGTTCCTCTGAGAGTCATCTTAGAATGAGCAGCACAGACAAAACTGAGATCGGCCCTCAGATATTTCAGACATCGACCTTCCAAACAGAGACGGGAGCCGAAGATCCGGAAGTAGTGAACCAGCGCAGCGTATCAGTCAGCGGGCAAGAGTGGACCACAGAACTGCCATACCGCCAGCATGGCTTGGCATCCATCCATCGGTGGTTGGGAACTGAAGATATCTCTATATCGGGCAGGCACGGAGCGCTGGATTCAGAGGTTGCCATGTCCAGTTATAAGCCTCTCTTGTTGACCACCGGCGACTCGGAAAGTGACCTTGACACAGTTGAGGCGCCAAAGCCTCCTTCCCCGACATTGATCAACGCTGAGAAAAGTTATGACTCGGACGATATGAGCAACGAGAGCATTCCGAGCCTCTACTCTGCCAGGATATCTATGGCATCATCATCGAGTTCAGTTTCGGTTGAACTGGGAGCCCGTGTGTTTAAAGAGCTCCGGGACCTCTTCATAAACCATGAGGTGCTCAGGCCATTGTATGATATAGCTGTTCTTAAAACCGGGCCAGACAGATTCCAGCGAAATATTCGGCGTCTCCTGTTAGGTTACAGCCGTTCACTACGCAAGGAAGCAAAGCAACCGACAGAACTAGAAGCTGCTCGTCTTGTCCGCCGTGCCGCGCGGAATCTGTCCTCACAAATTGCGAGTCATGTCACGGACAAGAATGAATCGCTTCAATGGAAAGATAAACTACCAGAGAGCGAGGAGGACTTCAGTGAAGATGAATTGGAACCCGATGATGCAGACGAGACACTTTATACGCTGGAAAAGGTCAAGTCATTCATGGTGTCTTCAATTGCTTTCTCCGAACTGTGTCATGGTTTGCGAGTGTGGTTGAAGATAGAAGAGATCCCGTCAGAACTGGTTCCTTCCCCAGATAACGGCGCAAGCCAAGAAAAGGTCGAAGTGCTGACGAAGCCTTTGGGCACATCTGCTGATCAGCCAAGCGTCGAGCTTACTGCGGAGGAGAACACGAGGCTTGCGAGTTCAAAGAACATCTCGATGCCGAACAGTCTGCAACACTTCGCGGCAAGGTCGGTGTGGTTTCGAATCGCTAAGCTGTTGCAGCAGCAATGTTGGAATATGATCTCGGATATGCTGCAACCGAAAGTTTCAGCTGGTCATGTCAGGATCTCCTGGACTTGCGTAAGTTCCCTACAACTGCAGGCGTAGTACTCTACGTATGATGTGTAACTGAACAAAATACACGTGGCAGAGGTGCGGCGATCGTCTACGTCTAGAGGTTCACGAGTCTCGTTTACAAGCAGCGACGGCGTTCGTAAAACAGGCTGCAGGTTCGAATGCCGGTAC